CTTCACCGACATGAAGTGACCATTTGCAATTATGAAGCATCAGCCAACCCCTCTGACCACAAAATCCATCAGGTTACTCCACAGACTCACTTCATTTCCTAAGAGCTGCCCACGGCTCCCACAGAGGCTCTGTGCCAGTGAAGATAACACAGCTACCTGTTGGGAAGGAAAATGTGTTGGGGCTCCCAAGAGAGTTGGCTACCACCTCTTCTGCCTAAGCTGTGTCTTTTGGACTTGCTGTAGAAACCTGGCCTACAGAAGAGACGGCACCACTGGGAGGGTTGTGTGGGTGCCGAGAGACAATCTGGTGCCCTAGGGCACTGCAGACATTAGGTCTTGGGCTGTTCCAGCATCCCAGGAAATGACTGCTTTGCCAGTCTGAATGTGCCATGGGATCCCAAGTGTCTTGTTGCTTTGTGGCAGGATTTGTACATGAGCTGCTTTTCTTTTCTAAGGGAAATGATTCTTGGGCTGCAGGAGCCTTGTGAAGCCCCGGGGCTGTGTCTGTAGTAACTACCCGGAGGGCCTCGAGAGAGATGCTTGGCCCTGCTTGTTCCCTCTCCCTGTCACTTCAGCATTCTTGCCAAGTTGCCCAGCTTGGAGTGTCCCAGGGTGATTCTAGCTGGAAAGGTGGGACTCTCCTGGTGATCCTTAAGACCGTGGGACCTCTTCCCCCACTGCCTTGGTAAGCCGTCTGGGAGAACCTGAGCGTCGTTTCCATGTTTGTCAGCATTCTGATGCGGGGGTGAAATGGGGACTTTGGTAAGATTCCCATTTGGAAGATCCTTAATGCTCATTAACTTCTCACTAGTGTTTTAAGCCCAGGGCCAGAATTTGGAGCTCTTGGGACTGCTTCTGTTCATGGCTTTTTACTCACTGTGACTGATAAGCTTTCTTAATAAATCCTTGCCAGACTTAATGCCTACTTTTTCTTTTGAGTTCATGGTCGTATTGATGAGACTTTTCCCTGGGAACTGTGTCAAACCCTGGAAGAACTGTTTGCTGTTAGACTACAGTTATTTCTACAGTTCAGTCAAGACGACATTGGTTTCTCCAGGAAGGGTCAAGCTTCACTGTGTCCAGTTGGCTAACAACACTTACATTCCAATTTTGCAAAGAGGAAGATGGACTAAAGAACCTGTTTCCTTTTCTTAAAGGGAGATTAGCTGTGGCAAGAAGGATGTAAGAAATGAGGGTGAGGAAAGTAAGTGAGCAGTATATGTGCTCTGAAAGTGCACCAGAGACCTGGGACTGAGCATGCTGAAGGAAATGTATATATGTTTGTGCAGCCAGCGCTGCGAGAGGATTTATGGCTCTAAAAGTTTTGAAATGGTCAGTCTTGCAGAAAACAAGCAAGTGAGGAAGGGAGTTGAACAGCAGTGCGTCTGAGTCTCTTGTGAGAATCCCTCTGAGGGCCTGGTCCACACTGTTAGGCTACACTTGCTGCTCCGTCAGCCGGTCCTAGCAGAAGTCTGCCACCACCAAGCCTCACCGTTCCAAGAGTGCAGCCAGAGATCAACCGGGACGCACACATACTTCTTGAAGGCCAAGGGCCCTGCTGACTCAGCCACAACTTTTGTTTCAGTTGAGTCATAATAGAAATAGAATAGAAGTAAGAGAATTGTTTTAATCGGGGGCGAGGGACTGGAGAAGAAAGTTTAGAAATCCAGGCATCCTCATTTCATTGTGCTTCTCAGATACCTGGCTTTTTATAAATTGATGGCATGTGGCAACTGCCTCCGGCAAGCCTATCGATGCCATTGCCCCAACAACATGGCCTCACTTCACATCTGTCACACTGACAATTTTTTGAACTATTTCAAAATTTCGTAATGCTATTGCTCATTTGGGCTGCGATTCACCAGGTCAGCAGTTAGAAACCACCCGTAGCTCTGCAGGAGAGGGATGGAACTTTCAACTCCATAAAGTTACACTCAGGCACTTCTCCACGAGTCGCTACGAGTCAGTGTTGATGGCAGTGAGTTTGGTTTTTTAGTTTATTCAGGGTAGTGGAAACGTTTGTATACATTGGGAAACCAAAAAGTTGATGTGACTCACTGTTCGTGGTCTGGAACAAGCCCCCAATATCTCTGAGGTATGCCTGTCTTAAGTGCCATTTCATGAATTCTCAATTTACAAGACTAGTCCACCGTTCATTCCACTAATTAAACCACTAGTCATGTGTAGTCTTGGTGACCAAATTGGAATATTCATGCTGAAGAATTTGCTTAATAACCCAGTGTCTCAGGTGATGTATCAGCTTTTCATTTTCTCAGAAGCTGGTCCAGCAGGAAGTAGAAGCAAGTACATTTTTCCTTCCATTCCTTATTTTGCTTTGAAGCCCCAGCCCTGGGTCTAAAGGTGCCCTGCTTTGGATCCTGGTATTTAAGGCTCCGTCTCTGACCTGTGGGAAAAGCTATGTGAACTTAGAGCTGGTACTCTTTCCCTACCTTTTTCCTGCTAAGAATGCTGCCGAGGGACAAATATGACTCATTGCATGTTTGCGGAACCCCACAAGCTCTGGGACGCGGTGCTCCAACTTGGCTTGCCAAGCCTTCCAGCCTTTCTGTAGATTCTGAGTCCCATGTCCCCACACGGTGACTCGATGGTGACCGAGTAAAATCCTTTTTGATCTTAACCACGGACTCAGTGAGGGCAGGATTTTGTGCACTGTCTGCGTGGCTGGTTGTTGCACTAGGACAACACCCTGAATGTTTTGTGCGGCTGCTCTGGCACGGACAGACGGAGTGTGGTCTGCGGTACTTTCCCAGGGACCTTTGCGGAGCCGTCAGGAACTCCTGATTTTACAGTGTGGAAAGCGTTTTCACACGACCTCATTTGAGCCTCACAGCAAAGCTGTGAAGTAGGCAGGGTGGTTATTATCCCTCTTATAGCCCAGGAGACAGGTCTAGAGGTAATATTACAGTAGGATCTTGAAGTTACTACCCTCCGTGAGCCCTGCTTCCCTCATTTTTAAGACCAGAAACTGAGATGCTATCGAAGGATGTTTTCAGTTCGGAGTATGTGATTCCATATCCATGATGCTGGAATTCTTAAAGGGCAAGGAAGGCAGTGATGGGATCCTCAAGGCCGGGAATGATTGCATCCCCAGGAGATGGGAAGAGACGATGTTAATAGTGCGAGGACTGCCTTTCTTTTCGGATAACTTGGCTCCAGGAGGCGTATGGCGGGTGGCGTAAGGGCGAGCCTCCAGAGCCGGGTCTCCACTGTCGGTGGCTTGATTGACAGGGAGTGGTCCCGTCGGATGCATCCAATATGGCAGCTTCTAGCTGGCGACCCCTGCTCCCCGCTTCCGGATTCCGTACCGCTGTCCCAGGCGACTTCCGGCAGTGCGATGGCTCCTCACCCGGGACCCAAACGGAAGTTCCGGCGGGGGCGGCCGAGGGAAGAGTGTGTCTGCGAAAGCGGAGACTGGCCGAGGTCTGAGACGCCCGCGGAGTGCAGGTACGGCCGCGGCGGGCCCCCGGGGCGGGCCCCGCAGAGCGGCGGGGCCTGCACTTGCCAAAGGGGCGGGGAGTGAGGCTGGGAGAGGCGCCCTGCAGCCTCGGGGGCGTCGGAGGAGCCCGGAAAGAGGGTGTCTGGGTGCGATGAAAGGGACTCCCAGGTCGGAAGTGGAACATCCCACCGTGGGGCGGGGGCCTCCAGGCTCCAAGAGAGCAGGCGCGCCTTTGTGGGAGAGGGTGGCCTTTGGCATTGCAGGGGACAGGAGACCCTGGGTCGGGCTGAACTTGGCGGGGAGGAGACGCCGGTCGGGAGCGTGCGCTGCAAGCCCCCGCCGTGCGGGAGGAAGGGAACCCCGGTTTAGAGAGCGAGGCCCCTCCCCTGAGAAGAGGGACCCGCCAGGGTCAGAGGTGACAGGTCTCGCCGTGAGGAGGTGCACCGGGCGAGTGGGAGGGGGGAGTGGTTAGGGGTGGGCGTTACCGGGAAGGGTGGGCACTTAAGGGCAAGTCGCCGAAGCTTCCGGGCGAGTTTGGAGGATGCTTCGCACGGGGAGGAGCCAGCGGGCCTGACATTCTTTTGTGTGTTCGGGAGTCCCAGAGCGCGGTCCGGCCAGGAGCCCAGTGGAGTCTGTGGGCAGCAGGTAGCCCCTTCAGGAAGGCCGAGTGCCAGCTGGGGAGTGGGTGGCGGAAGGGAGTCCATATGCCTTCTGAGGACAGGGGCAGCCCCCTGGGGTTCTGGGAGGGCTGTATGGGCAAGAGGGGGGCTGGAGAGGATGCGTGCTGGTGTGTGGGGAGGGGTGGGGGTGGACAGCAACTTACTTGCCTAGTGTTTCTGCCCTTCACTTCCCAGAGGGCCTTGGCGGTGGGGAGGTTCAGGGATCCAGAGAAGGGGGTGACTGGGGAGCAAGGAGGAGGCAGTTGCCCCCTGAAGAGTAGCTGGGGAAGGGGACATACCTTGATTCCCCTCAGCCTCAGCCCCAGCCCCTGCCTCACAGCCCCAGAGCCCTGCCTCTGCCCCACTCCAGCAAGTTCAAGTGCTGTGGTCCGCCAGAACTAGGAGTTTGGGACCACCAGGTGACTGGGAGCAGAGGCAGACTTGCTGCCCCCCTCGACCTCTTGTCTGCTTGGGTCCCGAACAACAGCTTGGGCCATGGGTGAGGGCAAGTCTCGGATTGAATGCCCTGTCCAGTCTAGGAGTCTCTCAGCTACCCTGTTCCACCCCCACCCCCCCATCTGCGCAGGCCCCAGCCGTGGAGCCCTGTGGTGTATGTGTGGTAACACCATGTCTGTGCCCCTGCTCACTGACGCTGCCACTGTGTCTGGAGCTGAGCGGGAAACGGCTGCGGTAAGCTCCTTCCTCCCAGGGCCATGGACCCAAAGGGGACTAGATCCCTGCAGCCTTCACCTCAGGGCTGCCTCGAGGGCTCTGGGGAACACAGGGGTGGCCAGGACGTGAAGGAAGCCGCTGGAGGCCAGGAGGCTCAGGCTGAACAACCTGTTGGGCTTTTCCCTCAGGTCCCTCGGGATGGGGCAGGGGGGCCAGAAGTGGAAGGTTCTAGAGGGGGGATGATAGCAGCCTGCTGGCCGCCTTCTTCCCCAGCTCCCGGTTTCCCTGCCTTTTTCCAGGTTATTTTCTTACATGGACTCGGAGACACTGGGTGAGTGAGCTGGGAGGGGCTGTGCCATGGGGGGAGGGGGAGCCTGCCACCCTCCCTTCTGCCCAACAGGGGGCCTCTCCCTCCTCCCTCCTACAGGCACAGCTGGGCTGACGCCCTCTCTTCCATCCGGCTTCCTCACGTCAAGTACATCTGTCCCCATGCGTGAGTGTCTCCCCAGCAAGGGAGGGGCTGAGGATGGTGACCAGCTGGGGGTGGGCTTGTGGTTTGCAGATTATCAGCTATATCCTGGGCTTGGGCCCAAGGCAGTCGGAAGGGCTCCTGCAACCTTGCTGCCTGGAGTGCGCCCAGGAGGGGTCCCAACCCCAGCCCCAGCCCGGGCCTCCCAGCACTGAAATCTCCTTGAAGCAGGACCTCCAGTGCCCCTTCCCCAAGTACTCACCCGCGGTACCGACACCCCCAGTGTCGGGCGCGTTGGGCGCTGCTTCTCCATCGTCACCACTGCCCCAACTGCTACTTCCTGCCCTACGTGGCTGGTTGCCTGGCAACACCTTAAACACAGGCTCTGCCTGCTGGGAGGGGCCCCCAGGGGTGCCTCTGCTCCCTCCCAGGCTCTCGGCTGTGGCTTCCTCCTCCCTCCTAAGCACAGGCCCTCCTTGCTGTCCCTCCTAGGCCTCGGATCCCTGTGACACTCAACATGAAGATGGTCATGCCCTCCTGGTGAGCGTGGGGAGGGAGGAGGGGGCAAGAGCCGAGGGAGGTGCCAAGGGGTTGGTCAGAACCTCCAGTGGCTGCCAATGCCTCTGCTCCCCCAGGTTCGACCTGATGGGGCTGAGCCCGGATGCCCCTGAGGACGAGGCTGGCATCAAGAAGGCAGCAGAGAACAGTAAGCCCCAGCCCCTCCCCCAGAAACAGGGGTGGCGGCCCCTTCCCCGTCCTTCTGAGGCTTTCCCCTACCCAGTCGTGCTCCCTTCCCCCAAGTCAAGGCCCTGATTGAGCACGAAGTGAAGAACGGGATCCCTGCCAACCGCATCGTCCTGGGAGGCTTCTCACAGGTGAGAAGAGGAGCGTGGCGGGGCGGGGCGGGCGGGGGGCAGCTGAGTGGTCCCCTCACGGCCCCTCCTTCTCTCCAGGGTGGGGCTCTGTCCCTCTACACCGCCCTCACCTGCCCCCACCCTCTGGCCGGCATCGTGGCGCTGAGCTGTTGGCTGCCGCTGCACCGGGCCTTCCCCCAGGTGAGTGCCCTCAAAGGCCTCGCTCCTGCCCTTCCAGCCTCCCCCTGAGTCCTGTTCTGCCCACAGGCAGCCAATGGCAGCGCCAAGGACCTGGCCATCCTTCAGTGCCACGGGGAGCTGGACCCCATGGTGCCTGTCCGGTTTGGGGCCCTGACGGCTGAAAAGCTCCGCGCCGTTGTCACACCTGCCAGGGTCCAGTTCAAGACATACCCGGGAGTCATGCACAGCTCCTGCCCGCAGGTCAGCGACAAAGGCGCACCCACCGCCAGCCCTGCCCTTCCGCTCCCTGCCCGCCAGGAGCCCTCACTCCTTCTGCCCTTCCCTCCCCTCAGGAGATGGCCGCTGTGAAGGAATTTCTGGAGAAGCTGCTGCCTCCCATCTAACAGGTGTTGGACCCCAGCTTGAGAGGGACCCAGCACACTCGGCACCATCTCAGATCTGAGCCGGTGGAGCCCCCACTCCCACTTCCTCCACCTGTCCTCTCCCACAGGCCTTGGGGCCAACAGGCCAAGGCCTGCCCAGCTTGCCCTTAATCCCCACCTGCCTCCCCCGGCACAGGCGGAGAGCTGCTTCCCTCTCCTCATTCCCTGGAGGCGGCCACCCAGCAGCAGTATTGGAGGGGCTGTAGGCAGCGGGAGGAAGGCGCCCAGCTGCTGACCCACTCACTCAGGACCTCACTCACTAGCCCCGCTTTGGCCCCCCCTCCTGTGACCTCAGGGTTTGGCCCACGGGCCCTCCCGGGCCCCACCTACTGACCCCCCAGGAACTCTGTCCAGATAATCACGTCTCCTGCCTCCTCGCCAGCTGCTTCTGAATCATGGATGTGCCCAGGGCCCGCCCCCGGCTGCTGTGGGCCACCTGCCGCTGCCTGGCAGGAGCGTTGGTCAGGGGGTGGCGTCCCCTGCTCGCCCGACCTCTGGGGCTGGGCCCACCTCCCCTGTGTGTCATCTCCTTCTTGCAGGCCTGGAGCCTGCTGGGCTGGCCGGAGGCTTGAGGTCTCCCCCAGCTGCGGCACCCACTCTGTCCCCGCTCTTGGGCCAAGGAGGCCGTGGGGGAGTAGCTGTCTGTCTTCTGTCTCCATGTGGTTTTGGGTGTTTTTCTTGTTGTGTCCCAGATTCCGATAAAATTAAAGAAATCGCTTCCTCCACTTGGGCCTGGCTGGTTCCATTCAAGGGTGAGAGCGAATGACTGTGGGGCGAGCCTGCGCAGTGTAAGAAAGCCTTTTATTTGAAATGTTGGGGAAGTGCTTCATAGCAGTAGACCTGGGCGCCTGGGCAGAGGGTCCCTGCCTCCCTCACTTGGTCCCTACTGGGTTCTGGACACTGTGGACATTTAAAGTATTAAGAGATGATTAGACGGCAGCGGCTCAGGAGATCCCCTCATGGCTGTGACTCCTGGGCAGTGGAGCTCTTGGCCTCAGGCCTGGGCTAAGTGGCCAAGCTGGGGCTTGAGGTAGGGAGGCCTTGACTTTGCCCAGAGGCTCCGGGGCCCCTAGGCTCCACTGGAGGAATGCTGGAGAGCAGGCTGTTTCTGTCTGTGTCTCTGGTCCTCGACAGGAGGGGCCTCAGGCCTGTGTGCTGAAGCCTGAAGGGTTCTGCTTCTGCCAGCGCCACAGATCCTCGCCTGCAGTAGAGGAAGCACGCAGTCAGGGCCCAGGAGGGAAGGCGGGCACACCCAGAGCTGAGGGGCCCCTTCTGAGCTCCGGGGGACAAAGCCAGCACTGGGGGACAGGCCTGGGCAGTACTCACACATCCTGTCCAGCCCTAAGGCTGCTGTCCAGCCCAGCTCCTCTCGCGCCAGGCTCGGGTTGGCATAGCAGGCGGCCACGTCCCCTTCCCGCCTCGCCACCACTTTGTAGGGGATCTGCAGCAGGACACCAGGGTGTCAGCCCAGGGCAGGGGCTTGCTCATGAGGCACGTGGTGCTCAGCGGCAAGGCAGAGCCAAGCCAACTGGGCAGCCCTTTGGCACCTGGCGGGCGACACCCAGGTGCTTACTGAGGGTTGGGGGCCTACCTTCTTCCCTGAGGCCTGCTCCATGGCATGGACCATCTGTAGCACTGAGTAGCCTGTACCTGTACCCAGGTTGTAGATCTGTCCCAGAGCAGAGGCCAGGGTTTGTGGAAGGTCCCCTCTGCCCAAGCCTGTGCCTCCCTCCTCCCCCTCCCTCCTCTCTCCTACCCGGCAACCACACTTCTCCTTCAGCTTCCTCAAGGCTGCAATGTGGCCCTTGGCCAGGTCCACAACATGGATGTAGTCCCGGACACCTGCAGAGAGGAGGTGGGGGTCAGAGGGGTTCAGTTCAACCTGTGTCTGTGCCAGTCTCTCCTCCAGGCTCTGGGGCCCTGGGCTCACCTGTGCCATCCTCTGTGTCATAGTCATTGCCAAAGACATTCAGGGCCTCCCGGCGCCCGATCGCCACCTGGTGGTGGATGGTGGCCATCAGGGCAGCTCCTCCCAGGCTCCAGGCACCGGCTGCACCCCCACCCAATTCTGGGCCCACCCGATCTCAGTCCCTGCCCTTTGACCTGAGAGACGTAAGGCATGAGGTTGTTTGGGATGCCCTGGGGATCCTCGCCGATACAGCCAGAGGCGTGGGCCCCCGTGGGGTTGAAGTACCGCAGCAGTACTGCATTCCAGGCCTGTGGGCACACAGGTGAGACGATGGGTGGTCAGCTGGGCCCTGCCAAATCTAGTGCCTCCGACCTCCTTCCCAATGCCTGCTCCATTTCTAGAAATGGCCAGGGGCAGGACCTGTTCCTAGCTTTGTGACCACTCCTGAGGGACACTTCCTTCTCCATGGGGTTTGCCCACGGTCCCTCTTCAGCCCGGGGGTGAGGAGCAGTCCTTACCGTGTCTGCCCGGCAGAGGTCCTGGACCATCTCCTCAATGAAGAACTTGGACTTGCCATAGGGGTTGGTGCAGCCCCCGGTGGGGTGGGCCTCGTCCAGGGGCAGGTACTGGGGGGTCCCGTACACGGTGGCCGAGCTACTGAACACCAGGTTCTTCACCCCGTGGGTCCTCATCATCTACAGGGGAGGGGCAGTGTCAGCAGCCTGTCTCACCCAGGACCCCCGGTGGCTAAGCACAAGCAGGCGCTTGCTACCTGAAAGGGTGGCCTGAACCCATCAGCCAGTCCAGGGGGGAAGATGAGGTAGCCTATTTCTGCCAAGATGACAGCCTTGGGAACGCCTGGGGACAGTTCTTAGTCCCATGGGGTCACTATGGGTACCCACTGTTGGAAGTACAACTGTTCAAGGCTTAAAGGGTCCACTGGGACTAGCCACTCGGACTGTGGGCGCCAGACCCACCCGCTCCAGACGTGGCCCCCCAGTGTCTGTCTCTCTCTTGGACCTGGGTCTCTCACCTCCAGAAGCTGGATGGTCCCAGTCAGGTTGACGCGGTAGTAATCCAGAGGTTTCTGCACCGACTCGCCCACTGCCTTCAGCCCCGCGAAGTGGATGACGGCCACAAAGCTGTGCTGTGGGGGCAGAGGCTGAGTCAGGGGCTGCTCTGTGGGCCTGGGCAAGTGTCCCCTGCCTGCTGGGGGAACCCACACCTTCTGGAAGAGACGCTGGAGGCCCTCTTGGTCCAAGATGTCCATTTCCTCAAACTCCACAGAACGGCCCGTCAGCTCCTGCACCCGCTGCAGGCTCTCGGGCATGGTGCCCCCTCCTGGTTGGTCATATCAACATCAGGGGAGATGGGGGCCCATGTGGCCAAGGGATTAGCTCGATGCAAACCCCGCCCCTCTGTGGTCTAGCTGGAACCCCCAGCTGCCCACTCACCACGGATGGCATTGTGGAAGTTGTCGATGACCACGGCTGAGTAGCCCGCCTCAAGCAGCTCCAGCACCGTGTGGCTGCCGATGTAGCCGGCGCCACCTGTGACCAGCACCTTCTCCGCCATTGCACCTGGCCGGGGCAGAGTCTCAGCAGTGAGTGAGCCCACCCATTGGCCCCAGTGAGCTTGTTCACCTTGGAGGGAGGTGGCAGTGTGTCTTAGTTAAAGAGTGCCTGGGAGTTAGCCCTGGCACGAGCTTGGCAGCATCACTTTCTGACCTGAGGCTAGGGCGGATCACTTAGACCAGCGGTTCTCAACCTGTGGGTCATGACCCCTTTGGGGGGCATTGAACGACCCTTTCACAGGGGTTGCCCGGTTCCTAACAGTAGCAAAATGACAGTGACGCAGTAGCAACGAAAATAATTGTATGGTTGAGGGGGTCACCACCACATGAGGAACTGTATGAAAGGGTCACAGCATTAGGAAGGTTGAGAACCACTGACTTTAGACTCGTTGGGCCTTAGTTTTTAATTTTATAAGGCGCAGCTACTAACTATACACTCTTACGTGGTGGTGTGAGGGGCTGACACGTGGGGGTCAGCTTTGGGGGCCCTGGACTGGGAAAATGGGACTCTAGGCTCTTCCCAGGGCACTGGGAGGCTGGAGAAGCCTGGGCCGAGGAAACGGGGAGCAGGACTGAAGTCCCGGAGCCGGAGGGAAAGGGTTCAAACGCCTTTCCCAGTCCCTCTGCCATCCCTCTGGGCAAAGGGTCCCTTGGCTCTGTGACTAAAAATAGCCCCTACTCCGGGCAGCCCCCTGTCTCCTCCCTCAAGGGTCAGCTGGGAGGAAGCAGGAAATACACTGTTGGTTCTCGGTGAGCAGTGCCCCAGTCTGGAGTGGACTCCGCCCCAGGAGCCCGGCTGGCTCGTCTCCTTTGCTTATGCCAGCGCTGAGCGGGCCGGGCTGGGTCACCCCAGGCTCGGAGCCAGGAATCCCGCCCACCGCCCAACTCTCGCAGAACGGGGCAGTCTGTAGACGTGGCCTTGGCCTGGGCCCCAGCACCAGGTGCGCACCTCCACCCTGAGCAAACTGCGGGGGGCAGAGCGGGGAGGGAGGAGGAAGCGCCCCAGACACTGAGGCCTTTCATGCCTTTCTCCACCCAGGTGGCCACAACCCCTGCTGGGCTCGGCCAGCTCTCTCCTTCCGGGGCGCTTCTGCATTTGGGCCTCCGAGTCCCGGGGAGGCAGGTGTGGTTACTGACACTTTCCAAAGTGGGCGATTGAGGGTCACCGAAGCGAAGTCACTCGCCTGAGGTTAAACGGCTAGTTTTCGCTACGTTAAAATCCAGCCGGGTTCTGTCCTCAAGCACTTCGCCCTCCCCGCCCTTTCGCTGGCCTCTGCTCCACTGCCCTGGACGCTGCAGCCAGCCCTACCACCCCGCCGAGCGCCCCCCGCTGCTCGGAACCCTGCAAAGCGGGCGCCAAGGGGTGGACTGCAGGCAGCCTCACCTGCGGGAGGCCAGCTGTTGTCGCCTCAAGTATCCCTAGCGTGGAGGGTGGACGCTCACGGGCGGCTAGCTGAGCTCTGGGCTGGGAGTCCGGCTGCGGCACCAATCCCGGAGTCCTCCGGGCGAGAATGAATGAACCGGGCCGCCCCGGCCAAGGCGGCGGGGACCTGGGAGCCGAGGGGGCGGGCCCGCCCGCCCCGCCCGGGCCAGACTCTGCCCCGAGAACGCGGCCAGGCCCCCCAGGACGCTCCCCGCGCGCCCCTCACCCGTCCTCCAGCCCACCTACCCTCACTCGGGCTCCCAAACCTGCTCGGGGCCAGCGGCCAGCGCGGGCGGCGGCGGCGCTGCTTCCCCGGCCCGCGCCGTGGCTCCTTTAAGAAGCCAGGGCCCGGCCAGGCCCCGCCCCTTTCCACGCCCCCACGAAAACGTGTCTGAGGGGTGTTGCTACTACGGGAAAGTGGGAGGACAAAAAGCCTCTGAAGTTCGTGTGGGTGGCTTAGATAGTCTCCGAAGTCATTGTATGTTCAGCAGTCGATGTCCACTTCTCGTTGGCGGACACTGGTTGCCCTCCCCACAAGGGGGTCAATGCTGCCTTCGGTCCAGTTTGCTTGACTGATCGGCACTCTCCTGGCCTCTGAGGTTCCGGTCCACGGCTTCCACAAGCGCTCAGCAGTCTGGTCTTTTGGATTTAAACTTTTTTTAGACGTTTTTCTTCTGCTCTATCTCGGATCTTCTATTTTTTTTTAAAGTTTAATTAAAAGATCACTTCATTGGGGGCTCTTACACTTACAACTCGTTACGATCCATCCATCGATTGCATCAGGCATGTTTGTACAGATGTTGCCTTCATTCTTTCTTAGACATTTACTTTCTATTGGGCCCTTGGTATCAGCTCTTTTTCTTGCCCCCACC